CACTCTATTAGAAAAAAGATAGCAAAGAAAATTTCCTAGGTTGGAAGACATTCTGTATCTTTAAAAACATAAAAATAGAGATGCAGAAGCTCCCAGTAAACATGGGTGCTCCCATTCATCTCTCTCTCTCTCTCTCTCTCTCTCTCTCTCTCTCTCTCTCTCTGCCTTGGGCCATTTATTTCCCATCTATCACCTCAGGTCACTTGATACACATTTGCTGTGCAACAGAATGGGGCTTTCATAATGATGTTACATGAAGAATAGGAAGTAAGGGTACTTAACCTGCATGAACAACCCTAGGGGCCACAGACAGAGTGGAAGGAGATACAATGAACCCTGAGTCTCTGAAAGGTACTACTTGGAGAGGCCAGAAAGCATTCAATGTGACTCCAGATGCCTGATTTAATATCATTAAAGAGCACAGTAGTAAAGGGGAAAATCGAAATGCCCAATAAAACTTCCTGCAGATTGTGGTAAAGAATGGCTAAACCTAGAGATGATGATGATTCTAAACCTCTCCTCCACAATTCAGTTACTCAAATATCTCACTTGCCTTATAACTCTCTATCAACACATATATCCCCATACATTTTCTATTGCCTGGGAAAAAGTAAGCACAGACTATTATTCTCTGTGGCTGTGGCTTGGACATCCCTGGAGAGCAGCAACTCACTAAGGCATCTAGCCAGTGGTATAAAGGGAGTATCTTACTTGCAGAGTTTTCCTGGGCTTCTTCAGGATATGGAGAGGTAGAGAAGGCTGTGACAAGTAAGGTGAGTATGTTGGGGCCTAGATACAATCCCTTATACACTATTTAGAAGGATGGGGGCCTGGTTAATTAGTGTAAGATCCCCTTTCATCAGCTGCTGCCAAGAGGAGGAATCAATGGGATGCGGGTGAACAGATGCCAGAAGCAGGAAAGAAAGGAAGGAGGCCAGGACTTCCAAAGACAGCACATCTACATCCCTAGATAATGCAAAAGAAATGTAAGTGGCTATTTTCCTAAAGCACAGAAATTTCCTGATTCAGATAATTATTCAGAAACCCAGACTTGGGGCACCTGGGTGGCTCAGTGGTTGAGTGTCTGCCTTCAGCTCAGGGTGTGATCCTGGGGTCCTGGGATAAAGTCCCACTTCGGGCTTCCTGCAGGGAGCCTACTTCTTCCTCTGCCTATGTCTCTGCCTCTCTCTCCATGGCTCTCATGAATAAATAAATAAAATCTTTAAAAAAAAGGACTAAGAAAATTTCAAGAAAGAGAAAGAAAGAAAGAAAGAAAGAAAGAAAGAAAGAAAAGAAAGAAGAAAAGAAAAGAAAAAAGAAAAAAAGAAAAGAAAAGAAAAGAAGAAAAGAAAAGAAAGAAAAAGAAAAGAAAAGAAGAGAAAAGAAAAGAAAAGAAAGAAAAGAAAAGAAAAGAAAAGAAAAAAGAAACCCAGACTCAGTGTCCAAGCAGATTTGTATCTTTTTGCTTCTCTAAGTAGGGCAACAGCATAACAGTATATTAAAATCCTATCCCAGAGAGCATCCTGCAGGTGATCTCAAGGTTTGCCTGGTGTCCCAACTCTCCTTATAAGATTGACCTTCATAATCTTCTGAGTAAGAACCTTTTAGAAAAGCACTAGGTGTATATATTGCAAAATCATTACACCATAGCATTACATAGCACCTCCCTCACATCACATGATTGTCATTTCTTTTTTGTGGGGGAAAAAAAAAAGGAATGCACTTGGCTTTGGGTTAAGAAAGCATGGTGGATTCAGCCCTTTGTTTTCAGGCAACTTGACTTTCCCAGACACACCCAGTAACAAGTTCACAGAATCCCAAAGTGTTCAAACAGAAATTATTTATTTCCTTAAGGGAGAGCTATAATTTGTAGTATCTTTGACCCTTCGGTGTCCTGGAGATAATAACAGAAGACCAAACCCAGTGTGAATTCCAGGTTTAAGTAATTTAATATAATGTTTTTGGACTTCATGATAGCCACAAAACATGTCAATCCAACCTGGCTACTAAAATGAGCAGGAAAAAAAAAAAAAACCTGTCCTTTTTTTTGAGATTTTATTTATTTATTCATGAGAGACAGAGAGAGAGAGAGAGACAGGCAGAGGAAGAAGTAGGCTCTATGCAGGGAGCCTGACACGGGATTCGATCCCAGGTCTCCAGGATCAGGCCCTGGGCTGACGGTGGTGGTAAACTGCTGATTTTCCACCTGGAAAATCTGTCCTTTCACCATAGAGAATCCCTTCTCAATGTCAGGCTCTTCATAAAACTATAATATTCCCAAAACATGAAAAGGGATAGAAAGGCCACTATCTGAATACAAGGGTGAAATTGGCTTGACTGTTTAAGAATTGTCCTTAATTTTTGGCAACTTGTCTTAAATAGTACCCTCTAATTTTCCCTTGTGAGCTCTAGGCTTCTTGTAATATTGTTTAATTTAGCATTTGGATACTTCCACCACAGTCAAGAGCAATAGATCACATAAATTCCCAGAGTTGCATAGGACCCACACATATCAACGAGCAGACAAGGGCAATTTCTACAATAAAATGGAGGATTTGCCACTTACTCAGTATTAGATAGATCAACGCAGGATAAAACAAGAGAGAGAATGGTGATATTATTCTCAGGTAAAATTAATTCTCAGATTCCTTCAAATTAAAGAGAGAGCACAGAATTCATCCTCTATTCTGATTTAAGCTACCAATGACAAATAGTATTTCCTGGATTGATCCTAAAATAGTAGTGTAAAAGTAGATACTAATTGCATTAATCTAAAGGAGTCATGTATCTTTACTATATATAAATCATATAGTATAAATTATGAATATATGCACATAAGAGGTGCTGTATTAAGGTTTTGAGTAAAGGAGAACTGAATTATAAAATTAAGGAACCTTCACTCAGTTATTCATTTTCTTATTCATTTATTGATTATCCTTGAAAATTTTTTTAAAATAAAATTTGAAAAGAAGACAGAAACTTTGAAATCATCAAAATCAGAACAATGAGACTTAATGAGAATTTTGAAGAAATGTGACTTAGATTAGCAGAAATAAAAGCAGGAATAAAGAAATAATTAGCACAATAAGAGGCGAAGGGCTTTATAAGAAGGACACAAAGGATCACAATGAGGAGTAAAAGAATGATTTTGTAGATTTTGTGAGAAATAAGAAAGGGCTTTATTTGCAGGGCTCCAAATCATGTAACCATGAAACATCAGAAGAGAACAAGCTCTTCCCAATAATCTGGTCCAACCTGCCCCACACTTTATAAATCACCATGTAGGACAACTCATGGCCAATACAAGCAATGTAAAACCACTGAAAGTGTCTAAGCCAAACAGACCTGACTTTGGACTCATTTCCTGACTGGCCTATAAGAACTCATTAAGCCTCTCCCCTCCAGTTTTATTTTTTTGACATTATCGTTATTATATTATTTATTAAAAAGATATAATACTTAACTTATATGGTTCTTTTTTAAGATTTTATTTATTTGAAAGAGAGAGAGCATGAGAAGGAGGGGCAAAGGGAGAGGGAGAGAGAATCTTGAGTAGATTCCACACTGACTGAGCACAGAGCCAATGTGGGGCTTGATCTCATGACCCTGAGGTCACCACCTGAGCAAAAACCAAAAGTCAGACACTCAACCAACTGTACAACCCAGGGGCACCAAACTTATATGGTTCTTTTGAGACCAAGAGATATTATTTACAAACAAACAGTAAGTGAGGGTCTAATATCTGAAACATAATAGATATTCAATAATTGGTAAATTTATTTGTCCAGTATTAGATACCAAAATTAGTGACATTAATAGGACAGATCCTACTAAACACTAAAGGAGACTAAATTTATGTCTTTGATTCATGTTTTCAGTTGATGTCTATGGATATTCTAACTCTTGGAAAAGTATCTCAGGTCCATATTCCCTGGGGCTATGGCCCTCACAGCTAGGTCAGGTCTCTGTGCTGACTGGTTTACAGGAAGGCACACTCAAGGACAAGTCAAGACCTCAAGGTGGGTGTGCTAGAGCTGAACAAAATGTTTGGCTGGATTTCTAAAGGATGTGGAGACTGCTGAATGAATGGAATTAGGGGATTATTCCTGAAAAGCAACATGTAGCCTGGATTACAAGGACATCCAATTACCCAGGCTGAATACTCTGGACAAGGCATAGATGAACCACAGATATTTAAGTGTTTTCAATTACCTGGGGAAAATGAAATGTCTCTTCATTTACCAAAACTTTCCTAGTACTTATGTTAATTTTCAGCCTGGGACTTTATCATTACTGGGACATAATTAAAAGAGTATGTCCTAGGATTTGTATTCAAACCCTCCAAACACAAAAAGACCTTGAGTTCTAATAACTGGCTCAGGGGAAAGCTGCAGTACTCTCTTCTTTAGATGGACTTCAGAATTTTTCTTTTTTTACTTTGGCTAAAATATTTCCCTTCTCTTTCAGCAAGGTAATTATGATACAACAATGAGATAATTATGTGAAGGTACTTAGAATACTGCAAAATGCATTATCGATGGGATAACAATAATGATCAGGACATATCTAGATAAAGATGGTGATGATGATGACAATGATTGATGATGATGAGTACTTAAAGTGCTTTACATATTAAAGAGTATTAACAAACATCACTTCATGTAATGAAGACAGTGCTCCCTAGGGTGGAAACAGTATAGAATTTACATTTAGAAACAACTAAATTCTAAGTCCATTTCAGTCATTTATTTTCTGGTAATCATGAGGAATTTAAAGTATCCCCTACATTCTACATTTGTTTGAGGACATATTAGCTAACATATGTACATTCCTGGAACAGTTAATAATACAGAGAGCTGAGAAAGTGGGAAATAATTAATAAAAAGACCTATAGAGCATAAATAAATGTCTTCCTAATAACAAGTGTCCTGTCATTGTCTTTCTGTCTGTCCAGACTAAAGAGGTCACATCTTTCTGGAGACCTCAACTGCTTTCCAAAGATGCTCCCTTCCCACTCCTACGTCAACATCTCCTTCTTCCAGCCACATGCCTTCCTGATGATTGGCATCCCAGGGCTGGAGGCTGTTCATGGATGGATCTCCATCCCCTTCTCTTCCATGTACACTGTGGCCCTCACTGGAAACTGCTTGATTCTCTTGGCTGTGAGGAGAACTCCCAGCTTGCACCAGCCCATGTACTACTTCCTGTCCATGCTGGCCCTCACTGATGTGGGCCTCACTCTGTCCACACTGCCCACCACCCTGGCTGTGCTCTGGTTTGATTATCGGCACATAGGCTTCAATGCCTGCCTGGTCCAAATGTTCTTCCTCCACTCCTTCTCTGTGGTGGAGTCATCAGTGCTCCTGGCCATGTCATTTGACCGCTTTGTGGCCATCTCCAACCCTCTTCACTATGCAGCTATCCTCACCAACAATGTCATTATTAGGATTGGGCTGGCCATTGTGGCCCGTGCTACCCTGTCTCTCTTCCCAGTGCCCTTCCTGCTTAAACGTCTGAACTTCTGCCCTGACAAGATTCTCTTGTCCCACTCATTCTGTTTCCATCCTGATGTGATGAGAAGAGCCTGTGCTGACATCACCATAAACATCCTCTATGGGCTCTATGTGGTACTGTCCACTGGTGGCATAGATTCTCTGTTCATCATCCTCTCCTATGCTCTCATCCTACACACAGTCCTGGGACTGGCGTCCCCCAGGGAGCGCATCCGGGCCTTCAACACCTGTGTCTCTCATATCCTGGCTGTCTTTGTCTTCTTCATCCCAGTCATTACTATGTCCATGATCCACCGTTTTGGGAGGCACCTACCCACTGTTGTACATGCCCTGGTTGCCTATGTGTACCTGGTGGTGCCCCCTGTGCTCAACCCCATCATCTACAGTATGAAATCCAAGCCCATCAGGGAGGCCATGATTAGGATGCTAAAGAGGTAAGGCCAAGGCTGATGAAACTATGAAATATAGCAGGGTCTGGGTACCATAAAAGAAACTTCCTGCACCTTTCAGGAATCTACTACCTCAGCAAGTACTGAAAATTCCTAGTCAAGGCTAGTGGTAAGATGATCAGGATTATTCATGTTGCAAACTTACATTTACCATTACTTCGTACTGGAAATAGTGCTGAGGATTAAAGATTAAAAATATATTAAACATGATCCTTTCTCTCCACAAACACACAAAGGCAGGTAAATCCAAAACTGGAATACAAGTACCATAATAAAGTTCTGTGTAATTGATTATTAGAGGGACTGCAAATAGTAGTTGCCAGAACTTATCTGGGAAGATCAGATATACCTCTACAAAGGAGAGAATACTTTTTACTTAATTTTGAAAAAAAAGTTAGGGTTTTTCTAGGCAAAATAGGAATTCAGTAAAAAAGAGAAAAACCTAGGAAGAAAGAGCAAAATGAAAACAAAAAGACTCCATGCTTCAAAGAAGTAAATGTGTTTGTGTAAAGATAAGCATTCCTGCACTTCTTTATATCTCTACCACTTGTTATATCTGTATAGGTGTGACTGTGACATAGAGTTTGAAGAGGGAGTGGTATGGGACGAAGCCAGAAAGAAAATGAAACAATGAAAGTGGTATGGTTTGGGCTGCACAAACTGTATAGAATTGTACAGAATTGCACATACTATGCTGAGTGGTTTGTCCAAAAACATATGAATCATTTTTAAATATTTTTACTATAAAATAAGTTAGGAGTATGAATTGCAGGATAGAAGTGTGTTGACAGGGGTACCTGGGGAGCTCAGTCAGTTGGGCATCTGCCTTCAGCTCGGGTTGTGATCCTGGGTTCTGGGATTGAGCGCCATGTCAGGCTCCCTGCTCAGCAGGGAGTCTCCTTCTCCCTCTCCTTCAGCTCTTCCCCACTGCTCCTGTGCCACTCTCTCTATCAAATAAATAAATAAAATCTTTAAAAAAAAGACGTGTGTTGACATATAAGCAAGACTGAAGCCAAAAAGACTTATTAGTTTAAGCTCTTATCTGGTCTCAGGGTCTACTCAGACACCATTTACTCTGCCTGTAACGTTCTCATCTCCCCCCCTTATATTTCCAGTTTCACTTCTCATTAGTCAAATAGAAACCTAATTTCTCAGAAAATCCTGCCCAATTCTCTTTTCCACATTATTCACTGAACTCTCTATGTGAAATATGCACATATGTAATATTCCATAGTCTGTCACTTAACTAGACTATAAACCCCAAGCAAAGGTGCCAAAATATATTCAGTTTCTAGTGGTATCTGTGGAATAATAGCTACTTAATAATTCTTTTGAATGTATACATGAACTTGAATGGGGGAAAGGGCAATAGATTAATTAAGAGATAACCTGGAGATGTTTACTCCAAGGAGCCTCTAGTCTCTCAGAGAAAATATGTATTGACCACTGAGCCCAATGTGGGGCTTGATCCCGGGATCTGAAATCATGACCTGAGCTAAAATCCCAAGTCAGACACTTAACTGGCTGAGCTACACAGGAGTCCCTTGAGTGTACCTTATTACAAAGTGAAGATAAAAGGGGATGTGTCTTTATTACCCACCCCCTACTCCTCCCAAAAGTATGAGGTTCAATATTTTAAGATCTTAGTATAATAGTGTCTGTACTGGGTAAGAAGGCTCATGTGTTATAGTGGTTAAGAATACAATCTTTAGAGTCAAGAAAGAAATCTTATTCAAAATCTCTCAAACCTGTCTCTTACATTTACCAGCTATCTAACTTGGGAGCATTTTGCCTTTTATGTATTAACAAAAAGAAGTTTTTTCTTTAGTGACCCCCATGTGCCAGGCACTCTACTAGGTAATGAGAATACAGAGGTACCAAAATCAAACTTTATTCTTATGGAAGGAATACTATAAATTCCCTATATTAAACTCACCTGTGCCATTTAACATAACACAATCATAGGAGAGGCATTTTACCATATTCAATGGTTTGGGGAATTAGAGTAAGTATTGATGCAAATAAATGTAATTTAGTATCTAAAACAACACCCATTTTTTATTTCACATTCTGCAGGTCAGAAATATGGATGGGTTTGGCTAGGTTCTCTAACTGGGAGTCCCATAAGGCCAGAATCAAGGTGTCAGCCAACTGAGTTCTTTTTTTAAAAAAGAAATTTTTATTTATTTATGATAGTCACACACACAGAGAGAGAGAGAGGCAGAGGCACAGGCAGAAGCAGGCTCCATGCACCGGGAGCCCGATGTGGGATTCGATCTTGGTTCTCCAGGATCACGCCCTGGGTCAAAGGCAGGCGCCAAACCGCTGCGCCACCCAGGGATCCCCCAACTGAGTTCTTATTTGGAAGCCCTAGACAAGAATTTGTTTCCATGTTCATTTGGGCTGTTGGTAGAAGCCAGCCAGTTCCTTGAGTTTGAGCAGCTGTTATCTATTGGCCTTCCTCAGCTCCTAAAGGCTGCTCATATGAGCCCTTTCATCATCAAACCATCAAGAATGCATCACAACTTTCTCGTATTTTGAATATCTCTGCTTCTTCTGTCACCAGCTAGTTGCAGAAAAGTCTCTTCTAAGGACCCATGTGGGCTCAAGCCCACCTATCTTAAGGTCAGCTATGCCATAATAACACAATCACAGAAGTGATATTTCACATATTCAAAGGTTTTGGGAACTAGAACAGGATATTTTCATGGGGTGTTAAAATTCTGCCTACCACGGTGACAAAATAAATGGGTTACTTAATGGATAGTTCTATGAAAGTACACAATAAGGGTATGTGGCTTTTCTCAAAAAGTGGTAATTATGGGGATATCCAAATTTTGAAGAGAAGTTAACTAGGAAAAAAGAGAGTGTTTAGGGAAAGGTATATTAGGCAAAGAAACCCCTGTCTCCAAAGAGTTTGTATAAGGGTAAGCATGGCACAGTGAAGGAATGGAATGAAAATCAGTGTGACTGGAAGTCAAAGAGCAAAGAGCCTATGGTTCAAGGCCAGTATGAAAACATAAATGAGAACCAATCAGAAATATGAGAAATTATTAATGTGTTAATCGTGGATGAGGGTGGTTTCAACATGATCACATTTATTTTAAAAATAGCATTTTATGTTGTGCTATAGAGAACAGATTAAAGTGATAAGGCATGCAAATTTATCAGTTAGAAGGCTATTGAAATAGTTGAGATGAAATTTAGTGGAAACTTGGACCAGGGGTATAGAGATAAAAAGAAAGAAAAAAAAATGATGGGCTCAAATTTATATAAGTAGAAATTATATAACTTGATTTTGGATCAAATATGAAGGGTTAGAGAAGAAAAAGGAATGGCCAAGCATGACTGCTAGTTTGGAATACTTCAGGGTAAATGGTAGTGTGATTAACTGAAATATGAAACATGAATAGAGAAACTTAGTTGGGTAAAGAATATTATGAGCTCAATTATGGACACTCTGAGCCTGAACTCCCTTAAAAGCATCCAAATGACTAGATTGCATAGGCCATTAGACTTATAGCCCAGTACTCTAGATTAGCCGAATGGACTGTCTAGAGATAAAATTTAAGTCATGAAATACAGATGGCAATGAAATCCATCAACCCAAGTATGACTGCATAACAATTAAAGGGTTGATTCCAGAATCTCTTATACCATGTTCTCTCATAGGCAGAGTAGAAAGTATACGGCAAAGGAAACTTGGAAGTACTAAATGAGATTAGAGGAAAGCCATTAGTGTGATGTCATGGAGGCCAAAGGAAGAAAACGTATCAAGAAAGAGAGAGTGGTTAATTGTGTTGAATGTTGTTGAGAAGCCAAGGAAGATAAGGACTTAAAATATTAGATACACAGAGATAGTTAATGATGATAGTAAATGCTCTTTGGTAGTTTGAGGCTAAAGTTATACTGGAGGAATGAAAGAGTTAGATAAAAGATGAATACATGGAAATAAGTTATAGATAACTTCTCTAAGAGATCTGGCTAAGAAAAAAAAGAGAAACAGGATCTGGGCATGTTTATACTTGTTGCTTTTAATATGGAAGAGACTTGAGCATAATGAATAATGAATGTGAGAAGTGATTGAGATGGTAGGTTTGAATGACCAAGAGAGAGAAGGAACAATAATCTAAGTTTCCTTACATTAAATTGATAAAGTCATACTTCCAATGTCTTCTCTGGCAGGATAAATAGCAATCTAACCTTAGTTCCTCACTTTCCAGGTTTTATTTTCATTAGTTTCTAAGCTATTTATTCAATAACTATTTATTCAGTGTTGTATTTACAAGGCTAAACTAAGAACAACAAAAATAAGTTCAGAGACTTGACACATTCAGTTTTCATCTATTCAACTGGTGCAAATATAGGTTGGTGGGAGAAAGGTGTGGCTCTACATAACTTTTTAGTAACTCAGGCTGCTGGTGGTTTACTTGGGTTCCCAAGTCACATGTGCTACCAATATGGAAGAATGCACAGAGAAGGGTTTTCAAGCCAAGCCTAGAAGAGGCACATGTCACTTCCACTCACATTGAAAATAATGGCTAGAATTCAATAATACTCAACTCACAGGAGGCTGGAAAATGCCTCTCTGTGTGTCCAGGATGGGGAGGAATTAGGTCTGGGGAACAACAGTCAATGTCTGTCATAAGCACCTACTATGACCCAGGCACACTGTGGAATGCTAAGGATGCAATGATAAAGGGGTTCAATGAAACCGTGTCCTCATAAATTCACATACAACTCAGTAGCAAATACTGTTTGGGAAATAAGCATTTCCCAAACATAATGAATGTTACAAGAGAAAAAGGAAGTATGTTGTGGGAATACCTATCAGGGAACCTGAAGATTGAGAAGCAAAATGAATCTCAATCACATAGAAGATCATGTTTCAGAGGTTGTTATTTGAATTTCTTGGTTAAGACTGTTTTCACATCATACTGAAGACAAAACCTGTTAAGCCTTGGAAATAGCACCCTTAGAAGCAGAGCT